AAAAAGAATTCTTGCAGAGGTAGATTTTCCAAGGGAGGATTCAGGACCACAAAATCCATCCCACCTCCAAAAGAAGACAAAGACTCTCCTTAGAAAATATTTCTAAGTGGAAAAGCCTCTAGACAGAAACCCATTGAGATGGCACATTGCCAAACCCACCCTGTTTCTGCTTTCCCTGTGGAATCTCATTGAAGTGGAAACCTTCAAGATTTCAGCCCTGTCTGCCCAGGCCAGCAGGCTGTGGGCCCACCAAAGTGTCAGAGAGCTTGGCAGAGGCTGCGTCTGGCCATGGCTGTGCATTCCCAGCTCCTCCCGCCTGGCACAGCAGAACCCAGGTCTGAGCCTCTGTGGGGGTGAGGGGCATGATGGTTAGGGCTCTCTGACTCCAGCTCCGCCAAGCCAGCTGGGGCTGCTTAATGAGAACGAGGGAAGCTGTCACAAAGCCAGAGATGTCAGGACCGTAGCTCCGAGGTCTCTGCTGCTTGCATTTGGTAGTCACACCCTCCTGCACCCACAAGTTTTCTCAGAGCTTGTCCTTGTGCAAGCTGGTAGGGTAGCCCACGGCACCTCTTACGTAAATACACATGCCTCATCTAGATCCTTTGGGACCACATACGGTTCAGGTCTCAGAGCATTTTATGTGTTCAAATCAACCAAATATCTGTATCCCTGGTGGGTTCCAGGAAAGCACCCCATATTCAAACATGTGGGTCTGCCCACCAGGTAACCTCACGAAGGGGGATACGGACACTACCAAGATCTCACATCAATCCAGGCTGGTTTTGCCGCCAAATGTGTTTGCCACAAATGGAAGAGAACACTTAGAGTTGTCAGAGCTTTCTGGATTTTTAAATTACATATAAGGGAGTATAGCCTTCTTTGGGATTCATCAACCATGAGCAGACATGACTTCTCTGCATCTGAATTTCAGTACTCCATTCGCAGGAAAGAGATGAGGAATGGGCCAGCTATGGATAGGTGCTCAGTGCTAGTCAAATCCACGGAGGCCTGGCTGCCGGGGACTGATGAGGCCGGGCAGGCAGCTTTGGGGGACAGGAGTCTGCGTAGCCTCCTCAGCATGTGTCCCCCGACAGAGGATCAGGCAGAACTTGGATGAGTGCTGTGATGAACTCAAAAACAGTGTTTCCACCATACGAAGACCTCCTAACTGCTGGTAGAGAGAGAGTAGCAAGAATGTGGAGAGCCATGAGTGTCATCTTCACTGCAGAGGAATGTTCCAAACCAGCAAGCAGACGTCACCATGTGGCTTCTAAGCATCTGAGCCCATCTTCCCTGCCCTGCCTGTGACCTTCTGCAGCCAAGCAGAAGTCCTGCTGCCAGGCAGGCCAGCAAGAAGCCAGAGTGGCCCCAGGCTTTGCAGCATCACCCAGAATTGCAGCATCACTCAGAATTGCAGCGTCACTCAGAGTTGCGGTGTCACTCAGAATTGCGGCGTCACTCAGAATTGCAGCAGCACTCAGAATTGCGGCGGCACTCAGAATTGCGGCAGCACGCAGAGTTGCAGCATCACTCAGAATTGCGGCAGCACTCAGAATTGCGGCGGCACTCAGAATTGCAGCATCACTCAGAGTTGCAGCATCACTCAGAATTGCGGCGGCACTCAGAGTTGCGGCGTCACTCAGAATTGCGGCGGCACTCAGAATTGTGGTGGCACTCAGAATTGCAGCAGCACGCAGAGTTGCAGCGGCACTCAGAATTGCGGCAGCACTCAGAATTGTGGCGGCACTCAGAATTGCAGCAGCACTCAGAGTTGCAGCGGCACTCAGAATTGCATCTCGGCACACACCAGGCATGCAGGCAGCATGCTCCAAGCTTCTTTCCTTCAAGTGTGTGGTTGGTTGTATAACTTGTAAAAAAATGCAATTTCTTCCTGTGCTACTGGGGATGTAAGAGTGTTGACGCTATGTCCAAAGCCGAATCCCTCCCCTTCCTATTATTTATCAGGGAACTTGTTCTGGTAGTTAATTTTTCACCTGAGGCAGCCTGGAGGGAAATGGAGAACTTTGAGGCCTTCTGAGCCTGCTCCTCACATTTTATAAAGCTTACCCTCAGTCCCTTTGGAGATCATGCCTTACAGTTTGCTAGTGATGTGGGTGCCCTGAATTCCAAGCAGAGGCCTCAAAGAGGAGATGGACACATGGAGAGTTTTGGCTGAACAGGGAAGGGAGGCCCCACCTCTAGACCCTGTTCTGGAGCCTGAGTGTCCCTGGCCGTCCAAGCTGTGAAGGGCAGTGTCTGCAGGTGAGCGGTTGCATGCAGGTAGAGCTGAGCATGCATTCCTGCGAGGGTTATGGCCAGCATCCCTCCAGCTGAGGTTGGCCTCTGCTTTGCAGAGTCCCCATTTCTCTGCCCACCCCAAAGAGTCCAGATAAACAGCCTTCATCCTTTCCAAGTCTGGCCTTTCTAACTTGCCTCAAAACAGCCTCTGCTTTTCTACCCAAGTCTCATTTCCACTTCTGTTCAGATCAGAGGATACACTTGGAGGCCAGAAACATGCATGAAAGTGGTGGTTTATTCTTGGCAATGCCACTTTGCCCTTGATAATTTTGGTCCTAGGAATTGTCAGTTTAGAGAAGAAACTGGAATGATGGAGAAAGAACCATGTTGCAGCCAAGAGGCTGGGGTGTGCCCTGCCAACTGTCGAGCACCTTCTGTGAGCCCCGTGTGCACGTCTGTATAATGGAATGATGACAGCACCCACCTGAAATGAATAGACACTACTTAGCGTGCTGCATGGCACACCGTAGGTAGTAAATATCGCTGATGATTTCATCATCCTTACTATGACTGCAGTTGAACACATCACCTCAATGCTCAGTTTCTCCCAGTACAGAGTCAGCATTTCAGTCTAAAGGCAATTAAAATCCACAATTTCAAACTGCTTTGGCCATGGGACCCTTGCTTTCAATGAAACAGTAGAGGCAGTCCAGTGTGTGGAGTAGACTCCATGCTGGGGGCTGTGTTGCTGTATCTCTTCTACCAGCCCCCCAAGATGCTTGGGGAACCTCAGGGCCCAGAGGGGACCTCTGGAACCCTGTCAAGCAAGTCCTCTCGAGCTAATCTCAGTGTACGTCTCCATCTTCCAGAGTTCTCCTTCCAACAGCCACCTCCTGAGGTCCTTCCCTGCAAATGGAAGGACAGCTGCCCCTAGCCTGCTGCCACGGGAAATGACTCATTCCTTCCAGGCTGCACCCAGCCCTCTGACAGCTCCCATCAGACCTGTCGCATGTGGCCTCATCCTGTGTTTGCTGTGCACTTGGCCATGAGCCCACTGCGGCCCTCAGAAGCAAACATCAGGTGTCTGTCTTTCCCTTGCAGTGCCCTCAGAGTGCCTTGTGTGAGGGCGGGGCTCAGTCCCTGCTTGGTGAGTGGTAGTGTTGAGGCGTCATTACTCCGCCAACCCGGGAAGCCTAAGCTCTCCAGGCTACTCTCGGGCAGATGTTTTCCCCCACAACTAACTGGAAGAACTGAGCGAAGATGCCAGTGCTACCCCACGTCAAAGCTGGCGTGAGGGAGGAGCTCCGGGGTGGAAGCTTCCAGGGCGGTCAAAGACAAGGTGCCGTGAGGGATTTCCAAGCGAAGAGCACATCTCGGGCACAGGCATGAGAGCTGGGCATGTTCTGGGAGGTCACGTGGTTTCCACCCTGCCTGGGTGCACGTGTGGCTCTTACAAGTTGTTCTGGCAGCCCACATGTCCTCTTTGTACCTCACTCCCACCCAGTTTCCGCTGCGATCTTCATGCCCCATAGCACAGCTCTGCAACTGTCACCCAGCAGCTAGGGGAGCTCTAAAGCTGTTAGCAAAGCCACTGTCATGGAGACCCTTGGGGCTGCTCCCCCAGCTCGGAGGCATTCTCATTCACCTTCCCCTCCCCCTCCTTTCTCTAAGAGTGGCTCCGGCTCACCCTGATGTCTATTCATCAACTATTAGCACACAACTATTCCTTTGTTCAGCCAGATATATTTGATGCCTTAAGGAAAAGGAAATGCATCATTGCAAAGGATAAAGAGATGAGAAAAGACAGCCCCGCAGTGCTCCGACCACCACCATCGTTCCCCTGAGTCTGTGGGTCTTTTTCCACTTGCTGTGCCTTGTGTTCAGAGGAGCTGGAGCATGCACCTGAGCTCGAGCACTCCTGTTTATCCGTGCTGACCTCTCCCCCAGCATTTCCCACTGTCCACCTGTACCTGCGCCCTGCGTGGCCCACCCATACCTTCCCACGTCAACATCTCCCAACCTTTCCCTCCTCAGATAAGCCGTGCGAACTCTACTGTTCGCCCCTCGGGAAGGAGTCCCCACTGCTGGTGGCTGACAGGGTCCTGGACGGCACACCCTGCGGACCCTACGAGACTGACCTTTGCGTGCACGGCAAGTGCCAGGTGACGTACTTCTCCTTCGGTCCTTGGTGGGGCTTTGGAGGGGAGACTGTCTCTCTGCAGATGGGGAGGGTGGGTAGAGCAGAGGCCTTGGGAGGCCAGGGGGAGTGGATTTTCGTAGAAGGCCCCCATCGCTGCCGCCTCCTGCAGCCAGTGTTGGCTGGTGCACCACCCCTAGCTCAGCAGTGACTGAGCGGCAGGCCAGCAGGAGTGGAGGTGGCTGAAAAAACAAGTGCAGCATATTCTAAGACTTTGAAAACTGCTTTAGATATCATGACCAAAGCGAAGGCAGGCAGGGAACTAAGAGGCGCCTGGAGGATATCTGCACAGGCTAGGCTCCGTCTAGTGCAAAAGAGACGGCGGAACAGAGCCAGTTCCTGTGCAGGTGGAGCCAGGCAGATAGACACGCCCGCCTGTCAGGGAGCACCCATCTGCTGCCATATAGTCCCAAAGGCATCGAGGGCTGAGCGACCACTGGTTAGAACAATGATAAAAGTCAGACATTTAAGAAAAGAGAAGCCAGGTGCGGCGTCTCATGGCTGTAATCCCAGCATTTTGGGAGGCCAAGGCGGGTGGATCATGAGGTCAGGAGTTTAAGACCAGCCTAGCCAACATGGTGAAATCGCATCTCTACTACAAATACAAAAATATATTAGCCAGTGTAGTGGCTCATACTTGTAATGCCAGCTACTTGGGAGGCTGAGGCAGGAAAATTGCTTGAACCAGGGAGGCGGAGGTTGCAGTGAGCCAAGATCATGTGACTGCCCTCCAGCCAGGGCAACAGAGCAAGACTCTGTCTCGGGGCGGGTGGGAAGGGGGAAGGAAGCTTACCCTCAACTCGCATTAACCGCGTCCGAGCTGAGGGCCATCTGTAGCTTTTGCCTTCCCCAGGTGGGGCTCCTGGCCTAGGGTAGCAGAGGTGACCCCGTGCTCCCTGTCTGTCCCTCAGAACAAGCACGTCCTGAGGTGGTGCAGCAGCTGGGATGGGTGGTGGGTGTCAAGAAGCTGTGTGTTTTCTGTGCCTAGAGGGGCATGGCCCTCACTCATGCCGCAGGTACCATATTCCCTGACGACTCGGCTCAAGCTGGGCGCATTGTGAGAGAGCCCCAGCATCTTGGCTTGGGCACCTGTAACGATACACCACAGACATTTATTACTCACAGTTCTGGACGCTGGGAAGTCCAACACTGAGGCATTGAGGCACAGGCAGGTTTGGGATCTGGTGAGGGGTCGTCGATCATAGGCAGCATTCCTTGCTCTGTCCTCTCATGGTGGAAGGGGCTGGTGAGCCCTCTTGTGAGTCTCTCATGGGGCCCTGATCCTGTTGATAAGGGTTCTGACCTCATGACCCAATCATGTCCCAAAAGGTCGCACCTCCTAACACCATCACCTTGGCTGGTGATGATTCATATGGATTTGGCGAGACACAAACATGCAGACCAAAGCACCCAAGGAGCCCTCTGCCCCCAGCCACACACACCTGTTCCCGTCATCCTGCACCACGTTCTCTCCGCTGTGTCCTCCCCAGGGGAGCCCACCGAGAGCTAGTGACAGCGGCAGCTCCTGCAATCTGGAGCAGGCAGATCAGTGTCAGGATCACCGTGGGTTGTCCTCACAAACTGTGGCTGAGTCACATGCCAGCTTCGGGCATCAGGTCCCTTTACCCACGTGGACAGCTTATGCGGTCTGCTTGCTCAGTGCCTAGCGGAGGGCATGGGCATCAGTATTTTAGGGTGTGTGAAAAGTAGAACAAGTAGCAAGGCGGAAAGATGCAAAGACAACTTCCAGGGTGACAGCTGCGGCAAACCGTTTCACCCCAATAGATGTTTGTTTCCTGCTAAGGCCAAGCCGGTCTGAAACTGCGATTTTTCAGGGAAAAGCTTGACAAGACCCAGACTCCTTTGGCACTGCCTGGCTGTGTTATCAGATACTATCAAATGTGGATAAGCGTGGGTGATGGGCGCCTGGTGCCCAAGAGTCTTGGCACAGCAGCCTCCTGGGAGGAGGGCAGTGATGAGTGGTTGAACGGGCCCCTCCAGGCTGCTTCCTTGCAGCAAAGAATGTGCAAGGCCCTGCCCCTCGGGCAGGCTGAACAAAGCCCTTATCATTGTTACTGAAATGAGGCATTGCTGATGTTTCTTGGTAAACTAACCAGCCAAGTGCGGGGCTGGTGTCCTTCCTAAATTACACACTTCCACGGACCATTCTGCCCAGAGACTTAATATTCCTCCGAAGTTCAGAGCTCTTACACCCTTTAGAGCAGCACCAGCCAAGCCACCCCCAGCCTCTGCCGGCATCTTCTGTTGCGTTCTTGCCAACAGAGAGGCATTTCCTTTTTTTGAGATGGAGTTTTGCCCTTGTTGCCCAGGCTGGAGTGCAGTGATGTGATCTCGGCTCACTGCAACCTCTGCCTCCCAGGTTCAAGCGATTCTCCTATGGGGAGGCGTTTCTAAGAATCTTGAAATTCTCTAGCCAGTGGGGTCTGTGTTACTGGCTGGACAGAATTTCTGGTTTAAGTCATCTGTGCCACTGGGCCGCATCCATGACCTTAGTTTTAATCACAGCCTTTTCAGCTAGGGGGTGTTCTCCATACTGTGACAGTGAAACCTTTAGTCAGTGGAATCAAAGACAAGCTGCTGCTCAAGGCATTTGAATAGCCTAAGCCTGTGGTCATGAGAATACCGTTGAGCCCAACCCCGTTCTGCACTTGGGTGTTGTCTTAGTCAATTGAGGCTGCTATAACAGAGTACCCTAGACTGGGTGGCTTAGAAGCAACAGACATTGATTTCTCAACGCTCTGGAGCCTGGAAATCCAACATCCAGGGGTCGGCGTACTTGTAGATGTTTGTTTTCCTGCTAAGGCCAAACCAGTCTGAAACCGGGATTTTTCAGGGAAAAGCTTGACAAGACCCAGGCTCCTTTGGCACTGCCTGGCCATGTTATCAAATACGGATAAGTGTATTCAGCCCACGTTCATGCTGTAAACTGCTGCTGTTCTGTGTCCTCACATGGCACAAAGAGAGCTAGTTTCCGGGCGTGGTGGTGTGGGCCTATAGTCCCAGCTGCTCCGGAGGCTGAGATGGGAGGATCATTGAGCCTGAGAGGCAGAGGCTGCAGTGAACTGAGATTGTACCACTGCGCTCCAGCCTGGGTGATAAAGTGAGACCGTGTCTAAAAAAAAGAAAAAATAATTTTCTTGAGGCTGGGAGTGGTGGCTCACACCTGGAATCGCTGCACTTTGGGAGGCTGAGGCAGGCAGATCATTGGAGGTCAGGAGTTCAAGACCAGCCTGGCCAACATGGTGAAACTCCGTCTCTACTAAAAATCCAAAAAAATTAGCCGGCCGTGATGGTGCATGCCTGTAGTCCCAGCCACTCGGGAGGCTGAAGCAAGAGAATCTTTTGAACCTGGGGAGGCAGAGGTTGCAATGAGCCGAGATTGTGCCATTGCACTCCAGCCTGGGTGACAGAGTGAGATTCCATCTCAAAAAAAATAAAAAAGAGCTAGCTAGCTCCCTAGCCTCTTCTTACAAAGGCACCAACACATTCGAGTGCTGCCCCCTCTTGACCTAATCACCTCCCAGAGGCTTCACTCCCAATTGCTATCACGTTGATATAAAGGTTTTAATTTATGAACTCCAGAAGACACAAACATGCAGTCCATCGCAGATGTGATGGGCATGGCGTTGGGGTGCACGCCTTCCTGTTCCCAGATGCTACTCCATCCCCAGGACCAGGTCCAGTCTGTTTCCAGTGTCTCTACCGTTGTCACCATCATTGCAGGGATTGGCGCCTGCACTGTGCCTTACACTAACGAGGCAGAGTCACCAGGGCATGGAGGTGCAGATGGAGGCACCTTTCACGGTGCTCCAAGGGGCAGATGGAGGCACCTTTCACGGTGCTCGGAGGGGCAGATGGAGGCACCTTTCACGGTGCTCGGCGGTGCAGATGGAGGTACCTTTGACGGTGCTCAGAGGTGCAGGCGGAGGCACCTTTCACGGTGCTCGGAGATGCAGGTGGAGGCACCTTTCACGGTGCTCGGAGGTGGAGGTGGAGGCACCTTTCACGGTGCACAGAGGTAGAGATGGAGGCACCTTTCACGGTGCTCGGAGGTGCAGGCAGAGGCACCTTTCACGGTGCTCGGAGGTGCAGATGGAGGCACCTTTCACGGTGCTCGGAGGTGCAGATGGAGGTACCTTTGACGGTGCTCGGAGGTGCAGGCGGAGGCACCTTTCACGGTGCTCGGAGATGCAGGTAGAGGCACCTTCAACAGTGCTCGGAGGTGCAGATGGAGGCACCTTTCATGGTGCTCGGAGGTGCAGATGGAGGCACCTTTCACAATTCTTGGTGGTGGTCTCTTGCTCCTCGCCCTGCCAGTACAGAGACCCTGCCTGCCGATTCTGAAAACACCATCTCCCAGGGGATGCACTCTGGTAACCTGCTGCCTCCAGGCAGTCCACCAGTCTTTACAAAAGAGCTACCATCCTGGCAGGTGGCAACAGCACCTGCCTGCATGCACCTCTACAGGTTAAAACTTTGAGAACCAACTCGATTTCTGAAGGAAGTTAAAAAGCCATCATCTATTGATCTAACAGTACCTTCTCTTTTTTTCTTTCTTTTTCTTTTTCATTTTTCTGTTTTTTTATTGTGCTTTAGGTTCTGGGGTACATGTGCAGATCATGCAGGATTGTTGCATAGGTGCATACATGGCAGTGTGGTTTGCTGCCTCCATCCCCCCTTACTTTCTCAGACAGATACTGTAAAGATTAACCTCAGCCCACTCTTAAAATCGATGCTCACAAAACTCCAAATTATCAGTTGTAGTGAATGAACTTTTATCATAAAAATTGAGCGTTCTTAAATAAGATCACAAAGTCAATTCAAATATAGTATTTATGCCTTGTGGCAGTAATTGCCAAGATGGAACATTCTGGATTCCTGTGACACTTGTGAATGCGTAAAGCAAGGAAAAATGGTTAAGGAAAATAATAGTAATTGTAATTT